TGGACAATACGGGATCCCGTCAGCTCTCCCATAGTCAAGCCGCTAAGGGGCTGATTAGTAGTTGGGTCGGTGACGACCAGCGAATACCGGCTGTTGTATGTCTCTGTTTTTGCTCTCCGTGCCTCTGTATCTACTGAGTAACTAGGTCATTGTGGGGGTGGTCACGTCCACGTGAACGTGAGTGACACGACTCTCCTAACTATTCGATGCCTGTGGTCATCAGTTCAGCGATATACGATATCTTAGGCCCATCTTCCTAGAAAGCTCAAAAAAGCCATACCAGCACCAGCCGACATAGTATTAGAGAAGCACCTTGGTTAAGCGCACAAGGCGAGAGACCTGCCCGATAGACCAAGCAAGAGCGTCGAGCTAGGAAAGACGCTCGGCACCCTCGAAGCCATCTTTCAGCTCCGAGGTTAAGGATCAGAGCGTAGATAGTCACCGGCTCGTGTAGAGAGTGAAGCGTGCATGGTCCATTATCAATGGGAACTTAGTCGAGTTCGCCGCCCACGCTGTGAAGACGGTGGTCGATGTGTATCCGTTCGGTTGGCACGAAGGGTGACATATGTGTATATACAAGGGACCAGACTATATCTTGACTCTGAAGACGAATAGATGTAACTATAGGTTCTGCTCGAAGATTGTCTGATGTAGCAAAAAGTGTGACCGTCTTGTTTCGAGACTGGAAATCTCGTATGCTTTCTCCGTGCAATCACTTACCGGGCTTCGGAGTCATCGTCTCTATTCTCTTACGTGCAAATTGCAACCTCTAACATACGCCCTCCTCAGTGTTTAGACTCTTCACGCTGTATAATAAGCATGGCACCATCCACATCCTTCCAAACGGACATTGTGGATGCAGCGTCGTCCTGCGGTTTATCGTAGTTAACGTCGATTTCAACCATATTGGTACCTTCAGATCGAAAACTATGATAAGACACCCACTGGGCCTTATCTGTTTTTATGGTGTCGGGTCCCTTCCTCTTGAATATCTTGAAACGAATCTTGGTATATCGAATCGCAAAGATGGTCTCCCCTGGAATGAGAAAGCGTCGCTGACTATCGCTGGAACGGCCGTGGGAAAATTCGACTCGGGGATCCTCCAAATTTGCGACTGGAATTCCCTGGCTCTGTAAAGCAGCGGACAGAGGCACGGCTGCTTGGCCACCGAGATCATGTTCCGCGTGGGAAGTCTCGGCAACGGTGGCATCGGTCCAGGTATGATAGGCTGTCACGAGATGAAATTCCTCCTCGTCACTTATTGCTTGCTCTATCTATTCGCGGGCCGAGTCGGACTGCGAGAGACTCCTCAGGTACCCTCTAATATTGCGGAGGTAGTACGACTTGAGCTCTGTTGCTGACACCTCGTTTGAGCGACCCTTCCGTTTCGAAAATGATTGGGACAGGAAACCAGCCATGTCGGATTCAAGCTTTCCGCTCGTTTCTGACCTGTTGGAATCGACATAGCCCTGAAGTGTTCTCTCAGCGGTCTTTATGTTCTCCGGTACCGAGCTTGTCGAATCGAACATGTCTGCCAATGGGTCCTTTGTATCGATGACGAGATTTCCGAGGCGCATATGAGAAGAGGGTAATAAGATTTGAGCAAATAACAGGTCGTTGGACATTTTGGGCTATATTCTCGAGCCTGTGAGCTGTTTGTGCGGTCGTTTGGTGTCGGCACTTGTCCAGTGATTGTGACACCCGCGCCGAGAAAGCGAATTCGCTGATGGCTCGTGTGTTTCTGTCGCAAGAACGATACCGACTTGCGAGAATGCAAAATTTTGAGTCGGGGCCAAGCGAATAAGTGTTGAATAGAGATCCAATGCTGTGTTGGGGGTGACGAGTGCCTCGTCACGAGCCAAGCCACCGTATAGGCTGCATTAGCTGATGGGCCTATCTCAGCTGCGGCTGGACGCGCTGCATAATGCATCATTTTCTAGTTCGAGGCTGTTCGATGCATCTTGGCATGGACTAGACAGGCTGAAGCGACTTCAACATCATTGTTGGGTAATACTATCCTTTATGTAAGTCCGGGGTCCTCGTTCTGCTTATTATCAACAATGCCCTATCTCGCCTCGATCATGACCATCTTCTGGGCGTCCCTGGCTGCATGGCCTGTCCGTCGATACGTTTTGCGTACCTTGGAGATATTGAAGGCCGATGTGCATCACTTGTTTTTGTAACTCAAACTGCTGAGGGCCACGCAGACCCAAACACATGAAGACGTGCAAGCAGCAGTCGAAGCCTTTTACTAATTCATACTTAGACTCCCGTTAAAGCACCCACGTGCCCTAATAATCCTCCTCAACTACTTAGCTCTGCTGAACTTAGCCTCCGATAACACTGGCAGCCATTAGCTTCTGGATAAAGCAATCTATATCTGTTAGTTGGCCATTGAAATTTCGACAGGGCGCAATCAGCCCGTTGAGCTGCCTATCAATCTCGCCAACTATTTCTATCGTAGATTCGCGCAGAGGAGAAATATCGACGATCTCGATAGAGCCGTCAGGCTCGGCCGACGCGCACTGTAACTTGCACCGGCGACGAGTTCCTTTTCCTAGGCCGCGAATATGAACCTGGTTAACATCCTGGACGACCGCTTTTTCGAGACACGAGATATGTCGCACTGGTTCGAAGCATCCGAATTCATTCACGCGCAAATTATGAGGTCCGATGCATTCACGACACCCCAGCTGTAAACAATAAGACTTAAGCAATAACTCGTGTACCTCTGCGCCTAGGACGTCGGCACTAATATTGGTGGCGGAGGCCTATATGATGTAACTGAGGACTTACTGGATCCTCTAGCTGTGCATGAATTTGGTATGAGGTTTCTGAAATAATTTGAACGCAGTGGGAACCAGGAATATCTCCGTAAGTCGATTCACTATTTCCGGCAAAGTCTGGAACTGCGTTGCACGACCTTGTCGCGGCCGAAAAAGGTACACGAGGACCTCGGACTAGCGCTGCTATTGAACTACGACCAGACTAGTAGCCTCGATGACTTAGAGATGTCGCTTAATAATCTTCGCTTGGCAGTCAGGCTCCCTGGATAATTAACGGCCCCGGGTTCCCTTATGAACTATTTGGGCTTCGCGCTGCTAAGACGATACGAGAGATTTGGCGATATCGATAGTCTCAGAGAGGCGATTCAGGTCCTACAAGCAGCCATCGACGCGGACGGCCTAGATCTTGCCTTGCGCGGAGACTGGATGAGCAATCTCGGAAGTGCTCTAGCGAGACTCTACGAGCATACTATGAGCACAGAGCTTCTATTATCTTCTGTCTCTCTCGTGGAGGAGTCTATTCTGATAGTTGGAGAGAACTCTCCTAGCTTGCCCGGAAAGCTGGATAGCTTGAGCAAGAAGCTGTATATGATGTATGAACGCAGCCATGATAGCGAACACCTGGAAGCTTCTATCGATTCCGCACGATTGGCTATTCACTTCTCACGGGATAACGATCCGAAGTGCTCGATCAGATTGAATACTCTAGGAAATAAGTTAGAGACGCTGTTCGAACACGGTACGCGACAAGATATGGGACTCTTGGAGGAGGCCATCGACGTGAACACGCTTGTAGTGAACACCACGCCTCCTGGGAATCCTCTGCGCTTCATGTGGCAGGGAAACCTGGGCCATAAGACTCTAGAAGCCTACAAAATCACCAGAGATAGCCAAACCCTCGAGAAAGCCTTCGATCTGACCAAAACGGCTGTTGAAAATAGCCGAGGCCGACCAGAGCTGTCCGGGTGGTTGTTGAATCTCGGACTTGTCTATCTTGAGCGAGAAAATGAGTCCGAAAGGGCCCTTGAGTGCTTTCTTGAAGCCTGGAAAATAGTGGTAGCACCTCCATTCGACCGAATCAAGAGCCTTCACATGGCTATGCCTTTGCTATTGCATAAGCAAGACTTCGAATGCGCCTATGTCTGCGCCGCAAAGGCGGTGAATCAGATCCGACTCCTGACCACCCGTTTTCTGGGCCAGCGAGATCAGCAGTATATTGTTTCTTACTTGGACGACCTGGTCGCCCTTGCTTGTAGTCTGGCTCTATAGAATAGCGAGTCTCCAGCTAAGGCTCTCAGCATCCTCGAGGAAGGCCGCCATATCATCTTGAGCGCCGTGCTTGACGACCACAGTGATCTCTCAGTTTTGAGAGAGTCACAGCCGGACCTCTGTAAGGAACTGGAACGGCTTCTACATAACGTCCGATTCATTGGGCAATTATTAGAAAACTTCGAAGAGTTGGACCTAGAATCGGAGAGCCGCTCCCTCGCGGCTCGGGCCGATGCCGTGAGGGCCCTTGATTCCTGCCTCCAAGACATTAGAAATATCAACGGCTTTGGCACTTTTTGGAAGACAGTATCTACTGAAGAAATAAATGAGGCAGGCAGAAAATACCCTATAGTGATAGTTAACGTTAGCAAGCTGCGGGCTGATGCCTTTATCGTATCTGGTTATGGTATCGAGGCGATGGGTCTTCCGCTGATACAACCGGCCCAGGCCCAGGAATTCCTGGATAAGAAGCTTTCGGCGAGTATAAGTAGCGGACCACCGCGGCAAAGGGAGTACTTCGAGTTCCTAGCGTGGCTCTGGAGTGTCGCGGTAAAACCATGCCTCGACCGGCTTAAGTTCCGAACTGCTGGAGCTTCTGACACGGAAGCTCTGCCTCGAATCCACTGGATCGGTGCAGGCTTGGCCGCTACTTTTCCTTTCCATGCAGCTGGTGTGTATTCAGATATCTCGTCGGAGAACGTATTCGACTACTGCGTTTCGTCCTACTCACCAACTATTACGGCCCTGGCCCGGATGCGACTATGTCCTTCTCTCCACGTGGGGGAAAACTATCTAAAAATGCTACTCGTCGCGCTAGAAGACACGCCTGGATTGCCTAGATTGAAAAACATGGCCGAAGAAAAGCAATGTATTAGGGACACGGTAGGAAGCATGATGGAGTTGACTATTTGTGAAAGACCCACAGTCACTCTCGTTGTCGGACAAATGTCAGATGCCCATGTTGTTCACTTTGCCTGCCATGGGTCTGCTGATTTAGCGATTCCCTCACAAAGCGGCTTGGTTCTTTTGGAGGATGATGAGGAGTCCGCAGAAGGGGGAGGCGGAACCGAAAAGCTGACGATCAGTCGTATAAGCAATGCAAACATCCGCCAAGGCTTCGTCGCCTACCTCTCTGCCTGCTCCACCGCCGAGATCAACACGGAGATGCTGGTGGATGAGGTCCTCCACGTGGCCGCCGGCTTCCAGGCAGCCGGGTTCCGTCACGTCCTGGCATCGCTGTGGCCCGTCAGGGACGATGTCAGTGTTGCCGCGGCTCGGGCCTTCTACTCCTACCTTGTCACACACCTAGCTGAGGATGCTGATCAAGATGATGTTGTGGCGCGAGCGGCTCACTACGCAACGGCTGAGTTGCGCAACACTCGAAAGTTCAAGAAGCAACCGCTACACTGGGTCAATTTTGTGCACTTTGGGGTTTGAAGCCTCTCGCGCTTATCTTAGGAAAAATGATGAAGATGACGACAGGATTGTGGAGATTCCAGGGTTTGCTATTACTTCCAATCGTCGACACGAAGGATCGCCCCTGACCTCGTAAGCTACGAGCCTCACTTAGTGTAACTATTTTCGAAAAGCTTGATATACTTCAATGATAGCAGCTATCATCACATACGACCATACCTAGTGGAAAATACGGGATCCCGTCCGCTCTCCCATAGTCAAGCCGCTGAGGGGCTGATTAGTAGTTGGGTCGGTGACGACCAGCGAATACCGGCTGTTGTATGTTTTTGCCAATTTTTTTGCCTCGTGGGGCTCCTAAGATCGATGCATGCTTTTAGATCGGGTGCTGATTTCGTCTCAGACCCGCTGCTAGGGCCGCTATATACGCTCACAATATCTTGCCTATATATAGCCTATCACAAAAAGGTGCGTTTCGCTTCTTTCTGGGTAGCTGAATTTGCCGTCGAACTCTAGGTAAATCCCCGAATCATCCGGCCTACTCGTCGGAGATGCTAATGATATAGCAGATGCCTGAGTATCTGTAGTGGGCGATGCGGAGGAGGGACTTGCAGATTTCGAAACATTCGTCGAATCCGTCGAGTTTAGCGAGTTGGCAGACTTGGAATTGAATAAAGAGAGCGCGAGGTTAGTATAGCCAAGTCAAGCGGGCGATGCTTTGCAATACGCCTAGGGCGTACTGCAGCTTGGAAGCATGGTACGGAATGTTGCGATGTAAGCCGCGTTAAGAACAAAGCTGCGTGTTTCTACAAGCGAGATTCCCGTAGAGAAGACCAGATATTGGATAGGGACACAAGGTGCAAGAAAAGACGACATAGGCTGGACGATAGAGCGGACGTACTATGTATTGTTGCTGGTTAGTCCAACATCGGGTCCCACCCCGAGGCCATGGCGAGAATCACGAAGCCTAGTAATATGGCGCCCATGATGCACAGAGGTTTCCTGCTCAGCCCGCAGCAAGACGTAGAGCCACGAGAGCACTGCTTCTCACGCTGACCCGATTCGTCGTCGGCAGGACCCGGGGTTGGATGCACGGCTTCCAGCCCGGCTTGCAGCCCGGCTTGATCTTTCCCGGCCGCTTGCGAACAGGCGACATTGGCACATGCACGCTTTGAGTTCTTGTGTGACAAAGAGGATCCATGCCCTGGCGTGGCCGATGCATTCGAATCGTACGCTTCGGGCGCCCTCGCGCCGTCTTTCTGACTGGTTGTCTGCTTAGCATGTCTATTTACACTCGATCTGAGAAACGCAGATATAAGTCAAGCCTTCTAGAAGGGTTCTGTGGAGTCGCTCATCTTGTCGTATTTGGTTCAGAAGCGTCCCCACTACTCTACACATCACACCGGTTGATATTCTGCTGAAGCTGCTTCGACCTAGCAGCCAGCCGTTGCTCGAGCTCCTCAATTTCAACCAGCCCACGCCCTATCAGCCCACCTGTCACTTTTGCGCTGCCCGTCAGGACCCGCCTGGCCGCTATTTTCCCAGAACTGCACAATAATGTAGGACCTTGTGTAAGCGAGTGACTCATGAAAAAAGCCCGATGAAGACGATCTAGTAGGTATGTGACAGTGTGGACTGCCAAGGAGGCCTCGAGGAACCCTACGATGCCGTGGCCTTGATCCAAACGATGATTTGATTCTGGTTCACCGTACTGCTCCCACAAGGAGTCCAGAGTGACCTCAAAGAGGTGAAGAATATGTGCGTAGCATCCGACAAGCTGAAAAATCGCAGTAGAGTCACGGATAGATTCTGCGTGAGCCGATGGAGACGCCAGTCGGCCTAAAGTGTCAGGAGTAGGCGAGCTTTTGGGGCTGAAAGCAGAGCTGAGCTCATGATAATCGACAAAGTCCATTGTCGATTTTTTCTCGGAGCACGACGAAGACAGCGGTGCCGACGACGACGACGATGAATTGAACAGATACTGAACACTGCTTCTCGCCGCATTCGTCAGGTCCTTGGACAGTACTACTATGTGTTGCAGCATAGCCGAACTGTCCGTCGCCGAAGCGTTCTTCTCCCATAACGAAAGTATTCTCAAGTTCAGGTCTAAAATTTCTTGATAGCTCAACACACCCCTGGACACCGCAGGCGGGGGTCCAATGCCCGCGAGGTCTTCCTGGACCCGATCGAAGCTTGGTGGACTCTCAAAGCGCTTGGTGGAGGATGCTGGCGTATCGAGGAAGACGCTGGGGCTGTCTAACTGCAGAGAGTCCGTCTTGGAGCTCGAGGTTGCCAAAGATAAGCTCGAGCTCCGGTCGAGGCCGAAGACATCCTCATCTGGAATAGGCTGTCCATGGGACTCCATCATATCGGAGGGATCCCCTGTGAGATTGAGGGGAGGCAGGCCTATTATGCCAAACTCGTTTGGAAACGCCTCGAATGGCATCTTGATCATTCCATTGGTCGAGATTCTCCCAGAATCGGCCCCTCTGGGGACAGGACAGGAGAGAGATGGCGGCGGAGGGGGGGTGTGGGCATGGCGATATCCTATAGTTCCCGCCCCGGGCAGTGTGTGGGACTTCTCTCGCTGCTTTGGTTGCTGTTTCTTCGTCTTTGATTTTGGCGGGCGTCCGACCTTCCCTTGCTGACTGATGATGCAAGGTATACCGTGCTTGCGGCATCGCGAGCAGGGCTCGTCCGGATGAGTAAGACTCCTGTCCCGCTGCCGGGGACAGCGTAGCTTCTGCGCATGGCAGCGATCGCAGGCAAACCGGAGAGGCTGGTTTAAATCGAAGGTGCTGTGCGCCATGCAAGCGGCTGAAGTGTGTGTAGGCGTGGTGCGTGGTGATGTGACATGAGTGAGCATAAGGACGACAGAAACCTCAAGACAAGTTGTTCGCGCAGAGTTGCGGGTATATAAGTGCATAAATGACACCCATGCCCTTCATGATATGATACCGGCAAGGCGAAATAGGAAATTTTCCTTTCCAGGACACCGGGGTTTTTGTTAACGGCCAAGCAACACGACTCGTTCATGCCATGATGACAACTTGCATTGCGGCCCCGGCAAGCTCGATGAGGGTTGGCTGGCCTAGATTGGCAAGCCCGCTTTGCTCCGATGCCACCAGGCATTGGGACACTGATTTGGGTTCACTCACGAGAATGACTCGTCATGATCATTCCGTAGATGGAAAAATTAGTCTCGAAATCTCATGACGGTATCCACAATCTGATCCTGGGCAACCGCGGAACACGTGGCTGCGATATTTCCCCTTTTGGTAGGTCGCTGTCCAGGGGGCCGTTTGTCGGTCCCGTTTTCGGCACCGACTACTTATTAGCAAGTGCAAATCCAAAACATCGGGCTTTCCGGGCGGGAACGGTACGTTTTGTCGGCTAGTGCCCGTTCACACTAAGACGCACGAGTCAGCTCTTAATCTCACCGTTTGTCGGGTAGAAATTGCCTGACAGGAAGGTGGCTCTGATTAGCTATTCTATTTTAGGCACGCGTCGTCGACTAGAGGCGGATCTTAAGCCCCTATTTCATGTGTCAGACGCCTAGAAGACTGGATCAAGCGAACGAATAAAATATCCGTCTTATAGCAACATTTGCTTCAAACACTGTGTCAGCGAGCAAGCTCAACCACCTGGGTGTTGTACCACATTGTCCGCCACTGCGTTGACCACGGGAGCGAACTTGCTGGTCTGCTCGGCCGTAGAGATAGCTGATGTCCCGACCCAGGCGTGTTTAATTCAACCGTGGCGAGCATCGTCTCCATGCATTTCTCCATTCACATATTTCTACCGCCATCGTTACCGGCCTCGCGGGTGCGTCCCTCTGGCTCGTGACTAGATGCCCTTCTCCCCTGTATATGTTTTGGTCGCCAGCAGCTGCTACCTGGCTGGTCTCCACAGCTGTCTTCAGACGTGAAAATCCACACCTATAGTTTGCTCTGCAGAGCACTGCAATTCCATATCAATAGCCCATTGCGTCGTCCATGTAGGAGAAATGAGCTACGTGGCGTTCCCCCGCCCACATCGAGTCGGGAAACACCGAGTTACCTGAATAGGCAACTTCGGGCGCTCCAATTGCTTGGACACGATGGCTCAGCCGAATGGCTTTCCTCGAAATTGATAGCAAGTACATATTGATATTGTCTACTCTATAATTCAAACGCGGTGCCTTCAAGCTGCGTTTGAAGCTCTCAGCGAGCTATCAATAGTCGGATGGTCCAGGTCCACGTGAGACATCATCATTGCTTTCCTAGACTAGCACCTCCTTGATGACCTAATGAAAGACTACAATAGAGTCTTGAATCTTAGCATAGGAGCGTTCAATCAACTTTGATACAAGTCTCTTTTGCATCCGCCTTCGGGAAGCCCATGATATAGTCACGGGAGATCTTGATATCACACTCATCCGTATCGTGAAACACAAGCTTGGGGCCGCCAGGGAGAAATAGCATTGGGGTGCCAAGGTACATATCTGCTCAGGCCAGGCTACGGCATTAGAACTCTTATTAGCGATCGCTCTTCACATGCATTGAAGACAACACATTTAATGGTGGGCCTGGGCACAGGCTTACTTGATTCCAAGGCAACTCCGTGAGCCTTTAGTAAAAGGAACGAAGTTGCGGTCCATTTGCCGGTTGTACTTCCCGATCCAATGTTCGGATCTAAAAGCGTAGGGCTTGGAGAAGACGCTCGGGTCATAGTGCATAACGTAGATAGACATGCCAACCGGGGTCTGTTGTTATTAAGGCTCATCTTAAATAATAAATTCAAAGGGGATCTCATAAGCACTTCAAGCCCAGTGAGACAGGAATAAAGCGACAGACCTCCTGGAGGATGACCTATTGGTGGAATAGAATATCCTCGTCTGGCGAGCAACGAGCGAGGTTTCCGACGAGACCGTTCAGCCGCAAGGCCTCCTTTAGGGTGCCTCTGAGATAAGGCAGGTTCTCCAGCTCCGTCCAACGAGGGATCTTGTTTAGATAGTCCTTAAAAACGGAAGCTAGCTCTGCTCTCAGCTGCTTCTCAATCTGAGGATTTTGAAGAACGTAAAACACACTAAATGTCAGAGTGTGGGCGCCTATAAGCGTTCTAGCAAGCAATAAGATTATTGACTTAGCACGCAGGCGGTCTATAGACTTCTCGGTCTCGAGAATTCTGGAGGTAAGAAGGTGATAGAAGACTAAGACGCCTGATAAATCTTTATTAGACGAGGCGATTTTAGACTTTATGCTTTCGATATTTCGCTAGCTAGTCTTGCCTAGCATTATATTAGCGATGCCTTTGGGGTATACGCTGTCTATGGCTGAGGACGGCAAGGACTGCAGAACCCTGAGTCTTCACACTATAAGCATGTCCTTCGTAACATACGTCCTCCATATAGAAGATGATACTTACTTATTAATCTATAGAAAGCATCGAAATCGGGGCGCAATAGTGGTGGACCTGATCATAAGGTCCTTACTGAGAACAATAATTTAGTCTTTATTAACATCTTCGCCACTTTAAGCAACATCGTTCCCTGCCGGAGTAAAATCAGGATCGTCGAGCAGACCAGCTTGCAAACCGCTGGACACTTGGCCGATAATATCACCGGCCAATGCACAGAGAATATTGTCCACTGGAATAATATCACTGGATCCCTTGAGGCCTACTAATATATCGTCTATTTTCACGACGAGCTCAGCTATCCGATTCTTAATTCGGGTGATCCCTTAACGAGAAAAGAATAGCTCCAAATACTACGAATGCATTGCGTTAGGTTCCGGTCCTGTCCTCTTGGGGGATAAGGTTATTTCTGGGCTTCATATACTTTTCTCTGTATACGGTGAAGGTTATAAGAAACCGACGAGTGGTGCGAGCCTATTCGCGAGAAACATATTAGACCGATACTCGCCGGGGAGCATACCAACATCAGGTTGGGAGGCTTACCGTTAACCCTGTTTCCTTCTCTACCTCTGGGCCATATATTTATCGTGCGTTTTGCAGCAGTAACATATAGCTACTCGTAAAATACCGGATCGCGGACAGAAAGCTCCCAAGGGCTGGTGCGTACAATAGGGCCTACGAAACCAAATGCTATTAGCGGTTAACGATAAATGAAATTGGATTTTTAGGGACTCGGTCGCGGTGCAGTTGAGACTCGGGGTGTTGCGTGCCATATTTCTCATGCTTCTTCCAGACTTCGTTTCCCTATTGTCCGCCCTTGATAATATAGCAGTAGAACTCGTACCAATCGCAAGCAGCGCAGATCTTATAACCGGGAAATTTTGCGAAGGGTTGCAGATATAAGCGGTAGAATACCAGGCCAGATATGTAAGCAAAGTATAGGCCGAGGACGACAGAGACAAAATTTGCAATATCCGCCCTGTCGATTTCTCCAAACTTGCCCGCGGCCACCTTGATTCCGGCGGAGTGTACAGCCTCAAACGTCATATCCTTGGCATCTAGCGCAAACGTAGTGGCGCGCCGGAACGCAGTTCGGAGCACTGCGTTGGTCGTTGCCGAGACGTTCCCCCATGTGAGGATCCCCTTCTCGGTGGCCAGGCCCATAGGCAGGTTGACCTTGTTCATATCGAGGGCCTCACAAGTGGTGGCTTTGGTTTGAGCTGTGAAGGACGCGCAAACAAAACAAGGAATCAAATATTCAGTTTAGATCCAACGCAACGTTGAGGTTACTGTATCTTCCGATGAGAGAGTAAATAAATATGGGGCACATGGGAGAAGGTCTGTACAAAATACAGAAGTTCCCCGGTATCCTAGGACTCCAAGAAATCGAGCTATTCGCATGTTCGTCGGACATGCTAGAAAAGGAAACCCCCTTTAGGTACATTCGGATGGGCTTTGCGGCAAAATAGCGGCGCTACTGTTTTGGGATCTGGCATTCAGAAGTAATTGGCTTGATTAGTGTAATATGATGATGATCGTTCAGCATGTTGCAGGCACTTGCCACATAGCACTGACGGGAGGGTAACTTAAATGATGTAGCTACTCAGGGCAAGTGTCTGGTGCAACTAGACAAGGCGCACCTTGAAGTATCCCACCGATTCACAAACGCTCCAACTGCCTAAGATGATCAAAATACCACTCTTCTCGCTGATACTGTTGTGGAGGCTTTACCATGTCCACAAGCCTCGGAAGATACATGGCGATAAATATCAAACAGGCCAGAATGGAATTCCACTGTGCTCTGAATGTGGCTAATTAGCGTATATACGCTACAACATCCTCTAATACGTGTACTGACTTCCTAGACTAGTGCTTATCACCCAGAACCACGACGCCGTGCTTGTCTCCCTGCTTTTCCTTACATTAGACAATAGCCATGCGGCAGCCTATTTAACCTCAAGGATTACAAGACCAAGAAAACCAAGGGATGCTTTGCGGTATTCGCCTTGTGGGTTGTTCGCTTGGTGATGCTTTCGGGGGCTCTGACCAGTATTCGTCGGATGGACAGGTGCTTACGTGAAGTTGCTTGGACGCAAGCCTTGTGACTGGTGAGCATGCGCGGGCGGAGTTATGGGCCTTATAGCCGGACATGGACTTAACACCGTCATGAACAGCTGCTCGAGGCAGAAACACAGACAGTTTGAACCAGGCGTCTCGGCACGGAAATATTCGATAATTACGGCCGATGCAGCCAAGTACCAGCCGCGTAGGATAATGGGAGAGCCTTACGGGATGAAGTGCAAGCCTCTGGGACGGCCCGTACTGGCTAGGTTCATCTTATCTCAGGGCTGTCCTTGGTGGCGCCGGGGGTATCTTCCACCCGCTTTGTTGTGCGTCATGACACGGTCGACACCCGACTATCCGAAGCCACCGTGGGCGCGATAATTCGGTTGCTTTACGTATTGGGTAACCTGGCCGCACGCGATAAGGATGAGCAGCCAGAACCGCGCAGCACTAATGCAAGCCACGGCGGCTGAGCGCCTGTAGATCAAAGGGTATCGGATCCGCCTCGGCAAAAGGTCAAAGGATGTCGACGGGGGAGGCCGGCTGTTCTGCCGGCGAACGGCAATTAACTACAAGTTGGGGCGGAATTGGAACACGCCAGGGAACTGCTTCTCCGGTATGCAGGACTCACATATGGCGTATGGCGGGCGTGTCTGTGGCATTGGCGTCACGTTTCTGAATCCTGATGCACGTCGAGACCGGAATTTCGCCCAGTGGCAAAGGCTGCTTGCGCATGAGTAGTACAAAAGGTTGCTCGTATTGCTCGTACATACATATACGCCGATAAGACAGGCCACAGGTCACTGTACATATGCCCTTTTAGCCTGTTCTCATATAGGAGACTGCATTGGACGAGGTCATATCCAACAGACCCTTAGCCTGACCCAGGCCCCAAGGTAACGTTCTAGACTCTGGAGCTTTCGGCTTACTATCCTGTCGCTTATTCCCTCATGTCCTGCGCCAGCATACGTGGTGTGGGTGGCTTGCACTGTCCCTGATTACGCCGTGATAACAGGGCAGGCCGAATTCCTGTGCATGTTTGCAAGGGTTAGTTTGCGCACACAGTAAGATTCTTGCTTACGGGCCGTGCGACGCCGCCAGGCGGTAATCACACCCTTTCGACAAGATTCGGTGCATGTGCAAGCTACGTTGTTGATGTCGCAAGGCATCCCGCCGCTGCGCAAATGGTCTGTAATGAAGAAAGAAGGCCAGGTACTCGTCAATTGGCTATTTCACTTCTGCCGACAACCAGAGTCATTCAAACCCCATACATGTACGAGGAACCAAACGCGAGTTGCCACTGATAGGAACATGAAAGCGGCGGAGGGGGAGTCGGATGCAGGCCATTGTTTCCCAATGTAACGCAAACCGCTGACGTCCGCTGGGGCAGTTGGCCACGCGTGTTCAACGTGGACAGAATGGGCGTGCCTAACGTGGATAGAGGTAGCAACTTATATCGGCACTACAGATCACAACATGGACTCTTTTGCGCCGCTACACCCACTTACACTTCACCAAAGTCAGTCTCTACGGAGCTCCTCAGCTCCAATGTCGGCAGTATCTCGCATCAAATTTGTAGACCAGTCCCCACAGTCCCGGCGCCAACAGGCGGCTGCGTGCTACTTCTGTCGGTTCAAAAAGGTAAGGTGACCATGCGACTCTTCAATGTTGACTTGGCTTCAATCCGATGCAGGCAACATGGATGGGACGGCGCCTTGCTGAGACAATGCGACACACTAGGTCAAATGCACAAATGAGATACCTCAATGTCACCGGTGTCTCGTCTCTCAGCTGCCATGCAGATACCCGACCAACAAGAAAAGTCAATCGACCAACAAGAAGAGTCAATCGACCAATACGCCCTTGGCATCATGCCAGCCCCCTCAGGCACAGACGACGCGCACACAGACACAACCAGAGTCACAGATGACGCAGACATCAACACCGACAAGTACTGAAACACAGGTACACACAAAGACAGCTACGTCTACGGCAAGGACGAGCGCTCTGCTGGCTTCCCCGAATGGCCCTCCCGAGCACCGTTACCAGCACTCATCTACCGGTTCTCCGAGACACACGGCGGGAGAGCTGACCCCAAGCTCCGCTGGTCAGCGTTCGGATACCGAGGATGGGAAGGAAAAGGGTTCTACTGTAGACAAGAATGCGCCAGAAATACACTTGGGTCATGACATGATGGACATTTCGTTTGAGCCGGGGAACGAAATCTTGGACACGTCTTGGCTCCAGTTTCCTTGCACGACAACGGCCCCAGCCGACGTGGCCGACAGCATGAACACAACGCTTGAGTCGTGGATCCCGTCCTTCCCGAACGACATCACCTGGTCGGCTCCTCTCCTGGCCGAGGTGACTGCCGCGGACATGGCCGCGTCCACCCACGGCCCGCAGTACACGTGTGCCACAGCGCAACGCTGCGACGCGCTCTCCATCCAGGCCCTGGAGGCCATCACGCACTGGCGCCTCCACGCGACACCTCTCGAGAAGATGTCGGCCGTGAAACGTGTCCTTTGCCAACTCGACAGCCTTGCCACCTGCACCCGCTGCGCGCCCATGTCCACCTCGATGACCATGTTCGTCCTGCTCGCCGAGAAGCTCGTGGAGCAGTTCTCCCAGCTCGTCAGCTTTCTTGAGTGCTCGACCCCAGCCGATAACTGGGACGCGACCGCCAACCTCGGGGAGTACTGCCTTGACACCGACGAGGAATTCAAGGTCACGTGTCTAGCGCTGCTGCAGCTTAACATAGAACGATTCGTTACCATCCTGGAGCACCTCGGCAAGCGTATCGAGATGCAGAAATGGGATAACCACCTGAACACCATCCAGCGCCTGATGGAACAGGTAAAAGACCTTAGGAAGCATTTGCCAAATCTATCTTCGCCGGGTGAGTAGATTTTCCCTTCCAGAGGCGTGGCTTTCGAGCCGATGGTCGAGGAACGCGCGCTGATCACGACAGCCACCATCCTCGGCCACTCGTCCGAGCTGACGTTCTTCCAACAAGGCATGTTGCCTCGTTGGACGACCGTGTCGCCCCGTCCGAGACGCCTGCTCTCCCGGCTGTCGAGGACAAAATCGACCGAGCCGTCAAGGATTGGCACATAGTCCATAGTAAGGGTCCCGTGCATGGGTTTATGAAATCCATGCTTCTTGTCAGGTAATCCAAAGTAAATCCCCCCCCGCTTGGGGTCTCCATCTCGGGGACTTGCGTGTCGTGTGGTAAGAGAGCCGCGCTGCAGATTTGTCCATCTTCAATAGGAATATAGCGGGACTAGTCCCAGATTGTCCCTGGGGCTTGAGTTGCGGGTGTGAGAAGAGGTGAAGCAAAGTTCTCGCGAGGAAAGATGGCGCGAAGACTCGTATTTCAGTAAAAAGACGTATCCTTGACGTCAAAAGGCCCGCCTGTGCCTTTTCTGTCCGTTTTCCAACGCGTCGAGTAATCATAGTTAGTCTAGCCCATTTTTTGTTCGTGGCATGTTGCTTTGCTTGGGCTACTTTAGAAAGTTGACCGAACTTCCTCCTCTGGAAACGCCGCGTGTTGCGGTGAATGGACTTTACCGTGGCTTAATTCCGGGACCAGAGTTGTGGTAGAGGTGTAGCGCACGTGCACCTTGATCCGAATCAGGAGCCTCGGGGCGGAATCTGTCCGTCAAACAAGTGATCAAACTGATGACGTGGAACAGTATAGTCAGCAAGAGGCCTCTGGTGATGAGTCTGACGTGCGCTTGAAGGGAATTGAAGGCATGGTAAAGCACTTGATTTCAAAGCACAAAAGGAAATCAGTCAGACGCGAATCAGATCACGCACAAGGAAAGATCCATGAGATTGTGATACTCATGGCATCTGCGTCGCGAAACTCCAGTCGCTTGTGTATTGTTGGCTGAACGAAAGATTGCAGCTCCACCGCCCCGAGTTTTGTGAAGGCGGAGGTCCAGGGTAACTCGGGAGATTGTGGCGTAGTTACATGTAGGGATCGTCACAGCCACGATCGACAGCCTTTTAGCGTGGGGTAAAAGTTACAACTCTAATTACCTGACCTGGTACCCAAGTTACCTCACGTCACTCACGTGGCTTCTTCCTAGTCTAGTTTTTTCAATGTTGACAACTACATATTGACTGTGATGAAATGCATACGCTCGGCACGCTCTCGCCCATGAGTGCTCGAGTTTATCTCTTCTCCACGAATAAGTATCCTGAAGGGCCCGGATCCGTCCTTTCGCTGCCTGTCTCCCCGCGTACATGTACCTAAGGTACCTAGCAATTACAGAGTGCACACTGCCCGTTGCGAAATCCCGATTCCCACACACCCACGTCATACACCCGCCAGCTTAACCAACATCCAACAACACGCACACGTCAAGTTCCTTCGCCAACACAACTCATCAAGATTTCGTACATCGCGCATCACATCAGACAAGATGTCTGACTTTGAAGCGCAGATCCGCGAAGCCGCGTCACGCAACACACAACTGCTTAGAGTCCTCCAGGAAACGGACCACGCCAAACCCAGCCTCCAGGAGCAGATTCGCTACGTCCAGGACCTCGAGAAGGATGTCGCCAACATTGACAAGAAGCTCAAACAGCTCGAGCAGAAGCGTGCCAAGGAGCTCAAAGACCACGAAAAGTACCGCGACAGCAACATCCGCCGCTTCGTCTACAAGGCTACGGGTAAGAAGGACAAGTTCGAAGCAGCAGCGGAGAAGGAGGAGCGCGAGTACTTTGAGGTCTTGCAAGAAGAGCACCAGGCCAACCAGCTGAAGGCAAACTTGGCCGAGCAGCTCGATGCAGCAAATAAGGTGAAGCGTGAGCTCGAGGCGGTAGCAAGGCGACATGACGCCGCGCAGCTAGAGCTCGACCGACTGTACCACGCCATCTTCAGCGGGCCGACACCCCAGTTCCCCGAGGAGGATGTGAAGGAGAGGCAGAGCGACCAGAAGCTGCAGGCGTATCACGAGGCGCGGACCAAGTTCGAGGCCGAGACGCATGTCGTGCGCCTTCTCAACGAGGCGGTGCCGTTGATCATGGGCGCGCTCAGGCACATAGAGATGGCGCTGCAGCATTCCCGGGTGGACATGTTTGGCGGCGGGGCGATGCACGACATGATGGAGCGGCACCAGCTCGCGCAGGCGGAGGGTATGATCCAGCGCGCGCGGATGCAGATCCAGCATGCGCGTCAGGCGTCGCCCCTAGTTGGGCCCATGCCGCCTATCAACATCAACCATGGAAGCATTATGACGGATGTATTCTTTGACAACATCTTCACCGATATGGCCTTTCACGACGAGATCAAGCGCGGACGGTCCGAGGTGCAGCGGTTCGCGGTGGCGCTGCAGGAACAGCTACAGGCGGCGGAGGGCAGGCGGAGAGGCATCGAGGAACAGTTGAAGAGCAGAGAGATGGAGCTAGAACAGGCGAGAAAAGAACTGCAGGAGGAGAGGGGGAGGGCGTTTGAAAGATACGCCGGCGAGCAAGGGGCTAACACCCATGGGGGGGATCTGCCGCCGGCGTACGATGAGGTTTCATCATCTGTAGGACCACCGCCAGGGCCGCCACCAGCGCAGACGGGGACAGATGGGAAGCCGTCAACGAATCCTTTCACGCGAGAGGGTTGACGGCGATCATGCATAGCTGTTGCGGTTGCCCTTGGATGAGACTCAGGGTATTTTTGTAAGGATAGGGTGTTTGTTAATGAGCAGGTAGTATAGGCATCCCTTTATCGACATATTTATACTATGGACCTAAAGCTTCCCGATAAAACCCTGAAGTCGCACCCCCAATCCTACCATCATTTCCTCCAGCACCAACTGATTGAAGTCGTCTACGTCGGTGTAGGCATAGTAAGCCGAGTTGTAGCACGTGTTGAGACAAATACGGCCCTGCCAAGACCACAGGAAACATTCTAGCCACGGTCCCGTAACAGTATCACCAAACCAAACATCCCGGATCGTCCACGAAGCATGCTCAGCCGAGTGGCCATAGGACGACCTGATGAAGCTGTCGACAGGCCCGAGGCTCGATACCGCTGGAGTTGTCTCCTGGAGTTGCCTCTGGACGAACTCTGGGAGCAAAGTGCGCACCATGGGGCCCATGGCGCTCCAGACCTCAGGATCTTCACGGGGCACGTCTTGCTGATAGAACCGGGACACTTCCTTGGCAATCTGCGCGAAGGTCTTGCCACCAGGTTCAACAACGCAAGGGAGAACACAATGATGGTTCCCGACCGAGTAAGCCTCCGAGTCACTCGTCGACGGAAAATACCGACGAAGGTCAAAGTTGCCAAAGGTGGCAAACTTTGTTCCATTCGGCCTGTCGGTTCCAGCGTTGCGCTGTCGCTGCACAATCTGCGTGGCGTGTATGACAGCTGCGTGCCAGCTCGCCGTGACACTCAGGTTCTGGGCCTTGCATGCGTCGATGATAGCTTTCGACAGGATGGCGCTGACCTTGAGACGCTCCGCCGAGTTGCGCAAACAGTGTGGGAGAAGGGGCTGCGACACGGGCACGCAGATTGGTGTTTCGAGGTCTGCGAGCGGCGCGAGGATCTCTTGCGCACGCTGTTCGCCCCTTCCTGGGCGAGACTCCGCCACGTCCAACAGGTCATCCGAACGAAATGGGAGACGAGCTATCTCGGAGCCGTCGATTAAAGGCAGATCCACCTGTACAGGGGACGCGAGAAATTGGAAGAACCGATCCCAAAAGCTCATAAAGCCTCTTCCGTCTAGCGTATGGTGCTCTCCCTGTAGAAACAGCTCCTGCTCTTCAGGCAAATAATTGAGAGTCATCTGCCTTGGCTTGACCATGTCCCTCCATTGCTCCGACATTTTCCTCCCGGGCAACACGAGAAAGGTAGTGTCCAGCCAATGCTGCTGCTGTTCAGGAGTCAACGGAGACTGATAGAACTTTCCATCCGACAAATTCTCGGCAGCCAGACCAGGATATTGGTAGCGCATCTGCACCCAGGCCCTGCGAAGTTGATAGACTAAGTCAAGGCCTCCGTTTTTCCCTGCCACGTGCTTGAAGGTGACCCCGCTGGCGACGAGGAAAAGGGCTGGCGATCCCGGGGGCGCAGAGATGGCATTGTAGAGGGCTTCCTGGAAGCCATATGACTGACGGTAAGTGTTCTCACCTTCCTTTCTCCACGAGGGAGGACATCCTGAAGGGAGCTCTGTCATTATGCTGCGCAGCTTTAGTGGAAGGAAAGTAAATATGGTAAATGTCGCCTGGGCCTTTGCGAGCTGACTACGAAGCCACCTTTGAGGTCGAGGTAGAAGAGATGAGTTCAAATTCTCAAGCAATGTTGGCTCACGCATGGAGGGGACACCAGCTCCCACATCACTCGCCCAGGGGTCAAGCAATGCCTAGCGGCCTCAGCCGCGGTCAAATGGGGAGAGGGTGTGTGTAGATGAATTCACTCGTTTTCGACTAGACCACTCGCGGATCTATTCGTCGAGATGGTGCGGCCTCCTCTGCACAGTATACCTTCGCGGAACAGTAGTAGTGAGAGCTTACTTACTCCGTTTTAGGCGGTCAAAGCCTGCTTGGTACGCGCGGGGGCACCGAGTTACTCCAGGTTCAATAGCCAAGGATGGTAGCAGGTAATTATCATGGCTGGGTACTGTACCCCCGGACGTGCTAGTCTAGGTCCCTTGAGTTTAACCCCAAACCCGCCACTAGCCTCTTCAACAATAACCTCGGCAACCGATATTCATGCAGTTCGCAGTGGCGATAAACCATGTAGGCATGCACGCCTAGCAATGCACCTCCTCATCCTCTCCATAGTCTCGCTTCCAGACCCCAGGGCTATCTTTGAGTAACTGGGATCTGAATCCTATCATGCGCTGTCCACGCGGGGTCAATGTCCTCGCGACCTCCTTAGTCACCAGGAAAGGATGGGCTTCCTCGGGAGTGAGATAAGAGCACTGGAAGACCATGGCAATACCGCGGCGGATGGAGTCCGCCGTCGTATTCGCGCCGCCTCCATGCACCACCTTGCCTGTGATGAAACAGGCGTCACCAGGCTCCATCTCGGCGGGGATGGAATCTTCCGGCAGCCCGTTCACCATGAGATCAGGCCACTTGTGACTCCCGGGGATCACCCTTGTCGCCCCATTCTCGTCCGTAAACTTGGACAAGGCGACGATAAAGTTGATGCTGGCCTGAGGAGCATCCGGGCCGCAAAAGGTGAAGATGGGAAATTGCCATTGATCGCGGTGTAGGGGTTGTGCCTTGCTTCCAGGGCCGACTTCGATGACTTGTGCCGTGTTCATCCAGTACCCCCCCGCATCCTCAAGAAAGATGAATTTGCACAAATGGTGCAGCAGCTCATTCTCCAGGAGCCCTTCGCGAAAAGTTTTGCTCAGGGTCACGAGATTCAGAAGGCGCTTAGTGTGAGCGCCATGAAAGTCGCGCAGCCAGTCGCTGCTGTGCTTGGAGCCTGACCCAAGGGCATCCATGGCGGGCTGTATGTCTCGATTGAGGCGGGCGACTTCCTCGGCGCCCACCAGGTTTTTGATGATGACGGCGCCATCGTCTTTCAGCGCTTGAAGAACGGCGTCGCGACCTTTGGAGGCTTCCACGTGCTGTATAGTTGGACGGGACATGGTTGCGCACTGGCACAAGGCGACGACTTGAATTCGGACAGAATGCAGCTTCTGGATGTGGGCAATTGGTGCAATACAAACCCATGAAGGCTAGGACCTTGCCACGGCCCATATGTAGTCCATAAGTCCAAAATCACCAATGGCCATGAGAGTCACGCCTGCACGTAAACCGAGTCGAGCCGGCTGCGGGTGCAGACGCACAGGAGAAACTAAACCCAACAGGACACAAAGAAGGCAATCATAAACCGTTAAATTAGGCGTAAGCTCACAGGCCAATCACTCTTGAAGATATGGAGGCGAATTGGGCAATAGTCGCGGCTGTCAAACACGGGGGGGAGCAGGGGGCTCCCTTGAATCCTTCAACAACTGCACCCATGTAAGCGCTATCCTTGTCCCTGCATATTGGCTGGAGACTGCATACTACATGCATGTGCTATCGACAGTGGGGGCTCTAGTGAACCACGATGCCCTAGGATCGCCACGTTTTCTCCAGAAAGTCCCCAATCTGTTGTGGAGGCGGATGCAGACCCTCGAACCACTCGACCAGGTCCAAGTGCTCACCCCCAATCTCGCTCAAGTCATAAGCGCCCAGTGCCACACCTGCCTCCAGATCGGCGACCAAGGCGCGCACTTGCTCTGCGCCCCCTGGGAATCGTTCGGGATAGTCCTTTGCGAGATGCATGTTCGAGGGTAGCGATATGCTGTCGTGGCGGAGAAGGTCTTCCACAGGCTGGAACGTTACCTTCAGAGGACGATCTTGACTCTTGCCCACGAGCGCGGCGAGCTCTTTGAGCGAGACAGTACTCGCCACAGCCTTGAGAACGCGAGGCCACCTGGGCAGGTCCAGGGCTAGGGCCAGGTATCTTGCTGCATCCGTCGTAAGGGTCATGCTCATTTTCCCCTCACCATCCCCCGGAAGGATCGCTCGGCCGTGCACAGGGTCAAAGAAGAAATACAGCGGGCGGAGACATGTTGAGACGCGCGGCATCCCAAAGTAGTCCATGAACATGCCAGGGTAGAAGTAGGCATATTCGACTGAATTCGTCCGCTCGAGTGCTCGTCGCGCGATCTGATGGAACCTCTTCTCTGGATACGGCAGGACTTCATCGCCGACGTCGTATTCCACGTTGAACTCGGAGGGGATGAAGCGCTTGACAGATGGGCACTGATCAGCGGCGCGGATCAAACGCAACTGGGCTTCGCAAGCAGAGTCGCTGTCCATGATCAGTGCGCAGATGACCACCTCGACGCCCTTCTCCGATAGAATGTGGGCCAATGATTCTTCCGTGTAATCTGTCTGGATGATTCGTTCATTTTGGTCGACAGGGGGCTGTTTGCATATGTGTCAGCAGCTCAACATGTCGACTGGTCATTGAGAGATGGGCCGGGCGTGATGCCTACCTTGCGCGATAAAATGTACACCTCGTGTTTGCCAGTGTCAATTACAGCCTGGGCGAGGATACGGCCCAAATCTCCCGTACCGCCCGCGACAGCTACAATAACCATGGTGATGTTCGAAGCAGCGGAACACTGGCGGGTTTGAGGGTGGACTTTAGGAGGAAGGTACACGTGTGGCTGTCGTCTTGATATTATCTCGTATGAAAGTGTTCGCCCGTCGTGGAGGGGAGGGAAAAGGGACATCTATATCATGCCTCATTCGGCCCAATCACACGTTGCTTCACTGCCAGGGGTCAACGGTCAGTGACTCAGAGCCATAGACACCTGCCCCTAACCGGACTAACTAAGCACGTGACTGTCGCTCCTCAGGGGGGTTGAGCGAAATCTTGAAGTATTGATAACGAAACGCACCCAAGAAACCCAGCGGGGGAGGCGTCTAGACAATTCGCTGAAACCTGACTGCGAACCCTGTCCTGAACTGGGTAGGTGTGTGGAAAGCGAGTATCACCTCCGCGGATTCGCATAGGCATGCCATTCGTGCAGGATGTCAGCTGATGAACCAGCTTTACATGCACCTGCGGACCGAACACCCCGTAACAGTAGAGAGGGAGCACGCATTGCTTTTCAGGCAATTCTTTCGCTGATCAGAACCCTATGAGAGGGGTCCAACCTTGAGCATGTTTCCCCTTCCGGCTTCGTAGGCGTCGATTTGACTGCATAAAACCAGTTCAACTTGAATGTCCGTATCTACCAAGAGCCTCCGGCAGTCTTCCAAGCTGTTGGCAGGGCAACTTCATCACAATGACAAATTTCAACGAAACCAACAGCTTTTTCGAGGAGGAATCCAAGACCAGAGTGCAAAGTTTCAACAATACCTCCGACCCAACAACACTGGGACAATGTACCCATAAACTCTTTGAACAGACAGTCGAGCGACATAGGAGCAAAGTTGCACTAATCTGCGGAGACGACGAAGCAACATTCTTCAGCCTGAACCAAAAGTCTAATCAATTCGCCCGAAGCTTACGTCAAAATGGTGTGCGGAGAGGGCATGTCGTCGCGGTTGCTCTTGATCGATCCGTCCATCTTGTGGCCATGCTGTTGGCTGTCATGAAGACGGGCGCCACATATGTGCCCATTGACCCAGCTCTACCGGCACAGCGTGTCAAGATGATGATTGCGGACGCCCATCCCAAGCTGGTCATTACCGAGGATGAGAGCCCCCACTTACAGGACCTTGAAGACACTTTCTGCATGACCGCGACACATCTCGCCACTCTGAGTCAGGAGCCGCACAATCTGAACTTGGATGTCCATCCGTACGACCTCGTCTACATAATGTACACGTCCGGGTCTACAGGCACACCAAAGGGGGTCGAGGTAACGCACGGGAGCGTGGCCAACTTGCTACTGTCTATGAAGCGCGAGCCTGAGTGCGGTGAAAGGGATCGCTTGTTGGCACTCACCACGGTCTCCTTCGACATGGCCGTTCTGGAGCTCTTCCTTCCCCTCCTATGCGGTGGCACCGTAGTCCTCGCCCAAAGACACCACCAAACAGATCCAAGGGCAATCATCGAGTTGATCGCGAAACACGACGTCAACATGGTGCAGGGCACGCCCGCCATCTGGCAAATGCTTCTCGACTCTGGCTGGGCTGGCGAACCCCGTCTTGAGAAGGTACTTTGCGGCGGCGAAGCTCTCTCGCGCACATTGGCCGATCGGCTGTTGGCCTGTTGCGACTGCATGTGGAATATGTATGGGCCGACCGAGGCCACTGTCTACGCTTGTATCTGGAAAGTCACGAAAGGTCATACTATTGCTGTGGGCAGTCCAATCACCAACTGTCGACTTTACATCCTCGACGAAGATATGAGCCCTGTACCCACAGGCAGCCTCGGCGAGCTCTTCATCGCCGGCAGCGGTGTAGCCCAAGGGTACCGAAACCGAGCTGATCTTAGTGTGTCTCGCTTTCTAAAGGATCCTTTTCATGCAGGGCAGATGTATCGGACCGGTGACCAAGCGCGGATGATCTCACCAGACACATTGTGCGTCTTGGGACGAATAGACGGGCAGGTGAAAATTCGAGGCCACAGAATCGAGCTTGGAGATGTGGAAGCAGCCATCAACCGGCACGATCAGGTGTCCGCGACAGTTGTGACAGTCCGGGATGAAAGACTGGTGGCTTATTACATCCGAAAGCACTTGGGAGAAAACCAGCTTGACCGCGTCTTGCGGCCGTGGCTGAAGGAAACCCTGCCTAGCTACATGATCCCTGCTTTTTTCGTTGAGTTGCAGTCCTTCCCGGTGACAATCAATGGAAAGATCGATCGCAGAGCCCTGCCAGACCCTGTCACCATCACATCGACGAGGGTCGTGCCACTGGACGTTGAGTCATTGGGGTATCAAATAGGGAAGATCTGGTCAGAAATCCTCGGACATGATCAATTTGGCAATGATGACAACTTCTTTGAGATTGGAGGGGATTCTTTGCGTTTAGTGCGCGCCCAGGGCAAGCTGGAAGCTCTCCTCTGTCAACCTGTTCCTATAACCAAGTTATTTGAGCACTACACCATCAAGAGCTTGGCAAATTACTTGTCCGACAGAGGCATTGAGAAAAATGGCCCAAGTCCTGGTGAGGGCACGCACTATCGCCCCAGCAACGACGACATTGCGATTGTCTCCATGGCATGTCGCCTGCCAGGTGGTGTCAACACTCCAGAGGAGTTTTGGACACTATTAGACCATGGTGTAGATGTCATAACGCAGGTTCCACAAGGGCGCTGGGAGAACAATTCGGAAGGGAGACATTGTCGTCACGGGGGGTTTATTTCGTCCATCCACGCATACGATGCTAGCTTCTTTGGTATCTCGCCACGTGAGGCACGCAGACTAGATCCTGCACAATATTTGATGCTTGAGATAGCCTGGGAAGCTTTCGAAAGAGCTGGATACACTCCTGAGCAACTTCTGGGCAGTAAAACAGGCGTCTACGTTGGCACAAGCAATATCCTTGCGCACGTCCCCCTGAACTCAGACGCCGTTCAGACCACATCCCAGCTCGACGGCTACCATGCAACAGGGTCTGCTGGCGGTACAATTTCAGGACGAATTTCATATCATTTCGGACTCGAGGGCCCCACGATGACCATTGACACGGCGTGCTCCTCGTCTCTCGTCACGACACATCTTGCCTGCCGTGCACTTCAAAAGGGAGATTGCGACATTGCTCTCTCTGGGGGCGTGAGTCTGATGCTCAACCCAGGACTCCACGCGGAATTCAGCCTTCTTGGCGGCATGTCACCCGATGGCCGCTGTCGGTCGTTCTCTTCGGACACGCAAGGTACTGGCTGGTCAGAGGGCTCCGCGGCAGTCGTCTTGAAGCGACTTTCCGATGCACAGCGTGACGGTGACAAAGTCCATGCCGTTATTCGTGGCACGGCCGTCAACCATGATGGCCGCAGCGCCACCCTGACTACACCGAACGGATCGGCACAGACGAGGTTGATACGTGCGACTTTGAAAGACGCTGATCTGCAGCCAGTCGATATTGACTATGTCGAGGCACATGGCACTGGTACTAAACTTGGTGATCCAATCGAAGCAACCGCCATTGCGGAGGTGTTTGGGCCCGATCGCAAGACCGGAGACACGTTGTATGTGGGATCCGTCAAATCCAACATCGGTCATACGCAAGCTGCTGCTGGCATGGTGGGCCTCTTGAAGGTGGTTTTGTCCATGCAACACGGTAGCTTACCACAGAGTTTACACATCACGAAGCCAGCATCAGCGGTAGACTGGCGTGGTGCGAATATGTTTCCCCTTACCGAGAAACGGCCGTGGACCTCGACTCAACGGCCTCGACGCGCGGGAGTGAGCGCTTTCGGCATTGGGGGGACGAATGCCCATGCTATACTTGAAGAGCCGCTCAAGCTCCTATCAGCTCCTAGAGACAGTAAGCCAACAGCACGGGCTATGCCTTTCCTTCTTTCAGCAGAGACAGAAGTGTCTCTGAGGACGCAGGCCGGGAAACTTCGCCGATCCGTTACCAGTGGACTCAATAGCGATGACTCTCTACTTGACATTGCATGTTCTCTTGCCACGAGACGAGCCCAGTTCAAATTGAACACGACTGTGGTAGCTGAGAGCAGAGAAGAGCTCTCAGACAAGCTTTTCGCCTGGGAAAGCCAAGTCTACCCCTCCACGACGCCATCAAAGCCACCAAAGTTAGCGATGTTGTTTACTGGGCAAGGCAGCCAATGGACAGGTATGGGGAGAGACCTATATGATACATACCCTGTCTTTCGGGATGCCATCGCAGAAGTTACCGCCTACTTCAACGAGCTTGATCCACCATTGCTGGACGTGATGTGGTCTGAGGCAGGGACAGCTACAGCCGCCCTTCTTGACCGGACAGACTACGCACAGCCGGCCCTTTTCACTTTGCAGGTAGCCTTGTACCGACTTTGGCACGATTGGGGAGTGGTGCCTGACGTTGTCCTTGGGCATAGTCTTGGTGAGATTACGGCCGGTCACATCGCGGGCGTTATGGATCTGTCGGGGTCGTGTCGACTTGTGGCCGCGCGTGGACGGTTGATGCAGAGTCTTGAGAGCGATTCCTTGAGCATGATATCCTTGAGTGCTTCTGCTTCAGAAGTGGAAAATGTCATCCTATCTCTGGGCCTTGGTGGCGAAGTGGAAATTGCTCTTTATAACTCACCAACGCAGACGGTCATCTCAGGCGATGATGAAGCAGCCAACACTGTAGCGAGTCACTTCGCAACGCAAGGCTACAAGATCAAGGCTTTAACACAGGGGAATGCATTCCACTCGAGACGCATGGACGCAATACTAGACGACTATCACGCTATTGTTGAAAGTCTCGACCTGCAAGCTCCCAAGATCGACTTTGTGAGTAGCGTTGAGGGTGGACACGTCAAACCGGACCGACTACTGCAAGCGGACTACTGGGTTCGGCAGGTCCGCGAGCCAGTTCGCTTCGCCAAAGGCATGATGACCCTTATTGATGATGGAATCAGTAGTTTCCTTGAAATCGGGCCTCGTCCAATCTTGAGTGCGCTGGGGGCTGCTTGTCTTCCAGACGGCAGTGGACCTGTGGCCTGGTTGCCGTCTCTTGACCGTGGCAGAGATCCCACGAATATCCTCTCGCGAAGCGCATCCTCTTTACACGAGCGTGGTGTCAAAGTCCACTGGCGTAACTACTTCAGTCCCTACAACTGTCGACGTGTCGAGCTCCCGACATACGCATTCGATCGAGCGTTCTTGACTAGGCCTGAAGTCACTAGGCCTGAAGTCGCAAAGAACAAGGAGGACACATTGCCAGGTGACTGTGACTCCGTATACCATCTGCAATACGAGATGATATGGCAACAGTGGGCTGTGCCAAAGGCTCGGCCTTCTGGAGTATGGGGCCTGTTTCCTACCACCAGTACAGCAACTAGCTGGACAAAAGCTGTTGCCGAGTCCATACGCGGCACAGGAATGCAGCTGATTCCTGTTCAGAGTATTCGAGATTCGGAGGGTCTCGCCGGTCTGATTATGATGTTTGATGCGACCTCGAATGATGTGGACTGTTCGAGCTTGAGAGATCTCATTGCAGAGGGCCTACAGACACTACAAGAAGCCGCATCTTCAAAGTTCTCGCTCCCCCCCATTGTGTGGATTACGAACCACGCTGTTGGGACTGGTGTCAGGATCTACGACGAGGGTATGAATTTAGCTGCCGCACCACTCGCGGGGCTGATTCGAACGGTCAGCAGCGAGCATCCAGAGTTGAGCCTACGGTTGATCGACATCACCGAGCCTCCTGGTGGCGATATCCTTGTGGCAATATTGTCCCGAGATGACGAGCCAGAGTGTGTCGTGCGCAAGGCCTCCGTACTCGTACCACGCATGAAAAGAGTCACGCCGATCCCAAAGTCTCTCTCAAAGCCGGAGATGATCCGCCAAGACGGAGCTGTCATTATTACTGGAGGCCTTGGTGATCTCGGAATGCGTGTGAGTAGATGGCTTTTGACACGCCACAACGTCCGTGATCTCGTCCTCGTCTCGCGCAAGGGACTTCAGTGCCCTGGATCAGCAGACTTTGTGGCACAGCTCACCGCACTTGGAGCTCGGGTTACAGTTGCAGCCGGCGACGTCTCCAAACCTTCCACCCTCGAAGATATTATAGCCATGTTCAATGACAACCGTCCTTTGCGAGGCGTGTTTCATGCGGCGGGTGTCTCGGACTCGGGGGTTCTCTCAGCCATGACCCCAGACAGGTTCATGACTACACTCCTCCCCAAGGCTGTGGGCGGCTGGGCGCTCCATGAGGCGACCAAGCATCTCGACCTCGATGTCTTCTTCCTTTTCTCATCCATTTCAGGGGTCATGGGGATGCCGGGCCTCGCCAACTACGCTGCCTCTAATGTCTTTCTGGATGCTCTGAGCCACGCGCGTCGCGCTCAGGGATTACCTGCGACATCTGTCGCCTTTGGCACCTGGGCTGGGGAAGGAATGGCGTCGAAGCTCAGCGAGAACACTCTTGCCAATTTGGACCAGTTTGGTCTCGATTTCCTGACTCCAAGAGAGGGTTTTTCTCTGATGGAAGACTCCATCATGTCCGAGAGGGCAGTAACGGTCGGCGCTGCGCTTGATCTATATCGATTACAAACGTATTTGGAGTCACAGAGCAGAGTGCCACCGTATCTTGGTCAGCTCCTCGGTCGAGGAGACGGCAATGGCACTTCGCAGCCTGACCTTCAAGTCGTTCTTAGTGGTGCTGATCCCGCTCATCATCCTGACATAATCCTACGCCTTGTTCGAGACGTAGTGGCGCGCGCTCTTGGCTTCACCTGGAGCGAAGATGTGGATGTAAATCGCCCACTGCAGGAGATCGGCATCGACTCGCTGACGGCGGTACAAACACGCAACCATCTAGCAACAATGACGGGCTTGAGACTTTCCGTCAATATTCTCTTTCATCACAAAAACTTGCTTGACCTGAGCGGGTTTTTACTTTCAGAGTTACAGAGTATATCTGCTTCGGGGTCGGTGGAGTCGTTTGGCGTCGAGACGCTGGGAACATCGGTGAAGGGTGACATAGCTTCACTTGACATGGAAACTATCTGCAAAGGCTGTCTGGACAGCTCGATCACCTTCGAAAACATGGAGAACGGCTTGAAGGAACGCCCTAGCGCCGTGTTTCTCACCGGTGGTACTGGCTTCGTCGGGGCTTTCATCCTCCACGACCTCTTGAAAAAAGGCATCCGTGTCTATGCACTCGTCAGAGCCAATGATCTCGACATGGCTCGGTCGAGATTGACCAACGCACTTGAAAGCTACGACTTGTGGAAACCAGCTTTCACGCCGCTTCTCGAACCAATAACGGGCGACATTTCGAAACCATTCCTGGGATTGGATGAAGACGACTTTGTGAATCTGGCCAGCAGAATCGATGCAATCTGCCACTCTGGCGGTCTCGTCGACTGGATGCGTCCTCTAGAGGATTATACAGGGCCCAACATCATCAGTGCCCACGAAGTCCTACGCCTGGCATCCCTCGGCTGTCCCAAGTCGGTACATCTGATCTCCACCATATCGACACTGCCAAAGCACATGGGTTTCGACTTGACTGAGAAAGATCAGGAGTACGGCTATGGGACTTCAAAGTACATTGCTGAGAGACTAGTTTCAGCAGCCCGTTGGCGCGGAGCCAAAACAACGGTATATCGCCTGCCATATGTGGCCGCTTCGGCTTCCACTGGTCACTTTCGGCGTGATCGCGGTGATTTTTTCCATAATTTTATCTCTGGCTGTCTAGACGTGGGAGTGTGGCCGCGCGTGGACGCAGACATGTCTGCCGTCCTACCCGTCGACTACTTGGCCAGGACCACCGTCGACATCATGACTGCAGACTTGCCCAAACAAGGCCAGGACTATGATTTCCGGAATTCGCAGGCTGTTAGCTGTACCGACTTTTTTACATTCATGGCGAAGCATCTTGATGGTGAGAGCAACTTCGTCTCGTTCAAGAAGTGGAAGCAACTAGCTTCGGCGTATGGTTTGGCCCATCCCACTAACTCTCTTGCTCGTATATCTGCTGTCCTTGATGACTATACCGAGAAAACGGCGCACAAGATATTCAAGGTCTTACCAGGGGGGGAGCATACGCTGGGACAGGACGACTACCCTGTACCACCATTTGATGTGCAGTTTGCATCTCTGTACAGGGGGAGAATAGCAGCAGCTAGTCAATAAAAATGTCGATTTCTGATGACATCTGGATCATTCTGTTTCAAAAAAAAAAAATATCATATTGAAGATTGAGTGTTGCCGATGTTGATGCAATGGGATTGCCAAGCTCCCTCGTTCTCAAAGACTCCCAAAGCTCACAAATTTTGCAACGTGGCGGAGACTGTCACAAGGCCTGATTGTGTTGTATTGATTGATGTTCTGATCGAGTGTCCCACAAAATCCCTCAAGCTGTAAGCCCCTTATAAAATCCTTCATAGATCCATACCACACCAGCCACACATTATCCACACGCTATCTAACACACCCCCTTAGGAAGGGCCGGTAGGGCTCTTCCTGCCCTAAACTTTTGAGGCCATCGCGAGCCCCTTTTCCTTCCTTCTAACGCTGATTTATGGTGTTATAGCCGACTCGTATCTCTATTTCTGCTGGTTCAGTCCTAGCAGCGGACTTGATTAGATCTTTTAGCTCGTCTATTCGACGTTCGATAGCTAGTCGATCTCGTAGATCTTCGATCCCGATAATCGTAACGAACTTCTAATATCACTGGTTTGGCAAGCTCTTAGTTAAGCTATCTGCGATTATCTGTTTCGTTAGAACCTAGTGGACTTTAATCCGCCCTTGTTGGTATTCCTGGCGCAGCCAGTGGCTATGGATATCAACGTGCCGGAGCTTCGTGACGAGCTTCTCGAGATCGTTGGTTATCAGCTTCACGGTCTGCGTGTTGTCGCATTCGATGATAACGGTATCTATTAGGCGCACCTGGAGTGCTTTGAGCAAACGGCTTATGAATATAGCTTCTCGCGCTGCCGCTGACGCCGCGAGCAACTCGGCTTCAGTCGTGCTAGTCGTTACGGTCGGCTGTTTTAATACCTTCTAGGCTATCGAGCCGCCGTATAACTATATGATATACCCTTGAGAGCTCTTACGGTCGTTGCGATTGTTAGTAAACGAGGTATCGCTCGTATAGATAAAGACATTAATATACGGCCTTCCTCTAAGCCTGATCCTATAAGTCCTTGTCCTATAGAGATATTATAGCGCCCGGTTTGCTACCTCTTGGTGGCTTTGATCCGGGTTGTGATTATGCCTTACGAGCCTAGATGAAGCAAACGCTATATCCGGTCTCGTTAATACGGCTATAAATAGCAGGCTTCTAACCTTCTTTTAATATATTAGGATTATCTTCGCGGTAGCTTATATGCTCGATGGTATTAGCTCGGTCTCGTTTATCGGCGTATTCGGGAGCTTCGATAGATCTAGTTTAAATTAGTAAGCTATCTTATTAATATACGAGTCTTAGGTCAGCCAGATTGATCGCTTAGCTCTGTTCCTGATAATATGAATCCCTAGGAACCACTGCGGCTCTCCTAGGTCTTTAATCTTATAGCGGTCTCGAAGCTTTTATATCGCGTCTTCGGCTTCTGCTATTACCGTTAATAGAAATGCCTAGATAATATCGTTAATAAAGAAGAAGACGATCACGGATCCTTTCTATATCGTATAAGGCTCTTACGGTACCCGTTAAAAGCCTTATTCCTCGAGGGCCTTCGTAAGCTCCTTCTGCTATAGTAGTGGTAACTTTCGTAGGCCGTAGAGGGCCTTACGTAGCCGTAGCACTCGTCCGTAGCTTTTAAAGCCCGGCGGGGGCCGTATAAATACTAGCTTATTAAGTATGTAGTTTATAAATACGTTTACGGTATCTATCTACCGTAGCTCGAGGTCTTATTCTACGGCTATCGCTATTAGGATCCTGAACGAGTTCGTAGCTAACGTTATTGCCCTCGTTAGTAGGTCTCCTTTAGTCTGTTGGTTACCACACACAACGAGTCTCGCCTTATATTTAACGAGATATCCGTGCTTATTGGTTTTATACGTAAATACCTATATATAGCCGAGGACCTGATGGTCTTTAGCTTAACTCTAGGGTACCTCCTCGAAGGTCTGTTTTTACTCGTGTGATTTAAGATAATCCCTCTAAGCCTAACGGAATTCCTATTTAAATAAATAACCTTTGAGATCGCGATATGTTTTTAGGGCCTCTAGTAGTTACCGCTTATAAAATTTCTTCGGCTTAAACTTACGGCTAGTTATAAAAGCGCCGTGGATCGGATCGTTAACTAGGATCGGGATAAAGTCCTCGAACCTACCTTTTTGATCCTATTAATCGCTGGATTGGTCTGATAATATCGGTAGCTTAAAGGGTACTTTCTTTTCCACCCCCTCGGCTCGAGCTATCGGAAGGTATATATTAAACGCTGCCTCTAGCGGCGGTTCGAAGTCTTCTAAAGGTAGAGGCGTGATATAGACCTCTTCTAATTGCCTCGCTAGCTCGAGATTATTATCCTTATTATATTCGTTATCTTAGTCTTTAGGATTATCTTCGTGATCGGGTTCGAATTCGATAACCGATTCGTTAGTTTAATCTACCTCTACGATCGTTTGTTCGTGCGTTCTCTCGGTCTCTGATAGCTGGATCTGATTAACTAGCTCGTTAATGCTCGTGAGCAGCTCGGGTGTGGTCTTATCGCTGTCGAAAAACGTGCCCTTATCGAATATTATATCTCGTGTTGATATTACTTTTCCTTAGTATAGAATCTATACTCGGAAGATATTCGATAAATCGTAGCTAATAAGATAGCCTATATAAGCCCTTGGCTCTAGCTTTTGAAGTTTGTTTTGTTTGAGCTTTATATCTACGGTTATCGCGTAGGCTCTATAGCCGTATGCCTTAAGATATACTAGCTATAGCTTCTTTCCGTAAAATAGCTCGAAGGGGCTTTTCTATTCGTTCCGTTAAAGCGGCGTATGGTTCTTAAGGTAGACTGCCGCTTTAACTATCTCTCTCTAAAGGTTATACGGTAGATACGTAGCTATTCGTATTGACCTAGCTTTGGCTATAAGCGCACCCCCTGACCTCTCGGCGCCGCTGTTCTAGGCAGGTATGATTGGTGATAACGGATAAAAGGATATACCTCTTCTTCGTAGCTAGGTTAAGATCCGATTCGTTAGAAGCTCTCTGTCTGATCTAATAATCCTGATATAATAGCCGTAGCGTTGACTTATCTAGTTAATATAGTCTTTGATAACTCGAAGGTGCTTTAATTACTCCCTTAATCTTATGAAATAGGGTGTGATAAGCCCTGACTAGGCGTCTGTTATGAATAGGATCCGTTTGAAGCTATTATAGTCTTCCTCTAGGTCGGTCTAGTCGATCCACACCTTATAACACGGGATATCCTTCTCACGGGCCGTTGGCCGCCTCGAGATCTATTGGTTTATCTTCGCCCGGCTGTAGGTTTCGCATTCGGCTGTTTTAGGTCCTTTGAGCCGGACTCCTAGCACTGCTTGAAGCTTGTGTAGTGTCATTGGGCTCGGATGTCCTAGCCTTGCGTGCTATAGCAGTCCGTTGCCGATTGCCGCAGGTCTCGGGTTTCGTGATGTGATTCTCTGGCGTTGAGTGTGGAAGGCTGCTGCGGCCTGTGGTTGATAATAGATGACGTATTGGTTATGCTTCGTAGGCACTCGATCTTCGAGCTTTCGTGCGGAGACTAGGTTCGTAGCGAATTCGGGATAGTAGGCAGCATTCTTTAACCTAAGCCTCTATGTGCTACTATTTGTACGAGTAGTCGGGAGATAAATCGTGCCGTAGGCTCGGATAGGCACCTCTGACGTGCCCGCGATAATAACCTCGTCTACCGAGGCTTTCCTGATATTCTTAAACCAGTTAAGGTTATTGAAGATATATAGCGTGGCTCCTGAGTCAAGGATCGCGGAGTTAACTAGCGGGTATGATAAACCTGCTTCGAAGGCTTGGTTGATCACCTATACGCTATGTACTATCCCTACGATCTTGCTCGTGCTACTTATTTGTTGTTATAGACTTATTAATCTTTTCGTTATTGTGATTTCGTTTACTTTCTTCCGTAGCTTAAGGTCGGCTTCGATCGCTCTTTTAGCCTTACGGGCTAGGTAGTCGTTCCTCGTAATACCTTAGGGCCGTTGATCTTTAAAGACATACTAGTAAGATAATAAGCTATGCCCTATCTTTCTATAGGCTTTATATCTAGTGCTTGCCTTACCTAATAATCTTCCGGCTGATATATAAGCCCTCTGCCTTTTACGCCCTTATGGTACTTCGGTCTTAGTCTCTTTATCGTTAATAGCTCCGTCTACTAGGAACGCTCCTCCTCGTACCGCTCGCGGCTTGATCTTATAGCGCTAGGTCTGTAGCCATTCCCTTAGCTCTTATATAACCTTCCTATATATATAGATTATTAGATCGGATGCTAGGGATATAGCGTCGCCTATGGGTAGCTAGATTGCCGTAATTAATCCAGCCGGTAACTAATATCTAGCCTCTTGACTAATAACCTACTGTAAAACCTTATCTAGCCGGATAGCTGCGCTTAGGAATACTTATATATAGGTTATTATTATCGGCTTAATCGCTATTATAATATCTCGTAGCTACTAGCCGCTATACGTTACTAGTAGCTTATATCGGAATACCTTCGTGATTATATCTTCTTATCGGTCTAGCTACTAGGGTAGGCTCTTAAGATCTCGTAGTCCTCTAAGGGCTTCGCTATATTTACTTATAGTTTCTCTAGCTATAAACCCCTATATTAGTCTTATTAATTTATATAGTTACTTTATTATCTCGGCCGGACTCTCGACGTCTTATATTATTATTCGAAGTCTCTCTGATGCACTAAAGGCAGATCAAACAGGTGGAAAAGGATGATCAATTCAAACGTCCTTGGGCAGCCAGTCGGCCAGCCTAAATAGGCATGGCGCGGCTGCTCCTCGGATCGTGTGCGCGCAGCCTGATTGGCTGCGGCGTTATCAATGCTATCTTATCGCTATCGTACCTGTGCGTGTACGTGACCAGCACGTGACACCCACACACAGCGTAGATGCATCTTGGTTGAATGGCCACACAACCTCCAAGTGTATCACTCTCGCTAATCGTCGTGATAATAGCCTCGCGGGCTTTCTTTAGC